AAAGATAAAATTACTATTTTATTAACATGTAATATAACTAGAATCAAAAAATAAATTTTATTATTTATTCATAAATACTAAAATCCATATTTATTGAAAGAAATTAGTAAAAGTTTATTATCAATAAATTATTACTAAAATAGTAAAGCATAAATGTAAATTTCTATATAGAATAATTATTTAAAAAATTAGATAACAAAATATATAGGACAAATCAGAATATATTACTATTAGTTGATAATATTCCAATATATAATTTACTAGATAGTCTTAATTTAATAAATATAACAATTTATTATCTACTATCAAATATAATATCACACTTATAATTATTAGATATAGGAATAATTTATAACTTTAAGATTTGTATATTATTTAATACAAGTAAATATATATATATTAATTATCATTAGATATATTCTTATCACTTATTATTATATATAAATATATTATTGGAAATTATTACTTGCAAAAAGAATAAAAGCTTTTGATAAATAATAAATTACTAATTATAAATCAAGATCAATTGATATTAAGAAAGTAATAGATTTTGTTACTAAAGTATAGAATAATATTATTCTAATCATAATTATCAATTACTAAAAGAAAACTGAAATTATTTTTTTTGAAAATAATGAATTACTTGATGAAGAAATTAAAAAAGCAAGTAATATAATAATTAGTATTATATTCCAATAGCAATTAGCTGTTTAAAATTTGATTGACAGTTTATCAGTTAATTTTCTATTATCTATCATAAATTATATAATAATTGATAATGGAAATATAAACAAGAAAATGATAACAGATGATAAAATTATTTCTTTCTTCTTTTCTGCAAAAGAAAAGGAGAATGATAATGAAAGTAGCTCATCTCTCTCTACCATCTTTACCAAAGATATAGTAGTTGTATTTGAAATGACATTCAGCTTTCTTTAACAAGGTAATATAGAAATAAATTATAATGAATTTAAAATCTTTCATCTGTTAAAGAGAAAGATGAAATTGCATAGTATTGCAAAACAAAAACAAATCCAAATAGATTCATATGTTACTGATTAGTATAACTGTTTTATTATATTTATATATTATTATTTGTAGATTGAAATAAAGATATTATTCATATAAGTCTTATTATACTAGATCTTAGATCTAACTTCATTATATAGAAATATCTCACTATACTGAATATCTTATTATACTGAATTAGAGATGTCTCCTCCAATACTTTGGTATAATGAGATTTAACAAGATTGAATGAAATTAAATGAATTTTGTCCTTCATTCACTTTACAAATCACAAATTTTACTAAAATTACTAAATGTCTTGACTGCAAGAGCTTTTTAAAAAAGTTAGAATATAATTTTTGTAATCTTTACCATTTCTATCTTTTATTTGAATATAATAATCAATTAGTTAATCAGAATCTAGCAGTAATAAATTTCATGCCTTTAGAATTACAATCTTTTAAAAAATGCATTGCATTAATAGCTAAAAAGTATTCAATTATAGCAATTTGAGAGATGATCAGGGATAAGCAATTGAGCTTTATATTAAAGAAAAAAAGGATGTTGAAAACTGGGAGTGGTAAATCTTTATATTTTGCCATATCTGCCTTGTTATTTAATGGGCTGACAATTGTTATATCTCCACTATTTTGCTTATTCAAGATCAGATGGTAAGTATATAATATTGTATATATAACATAAATTAGTACACTTTTCAAAATTTCTTAAAAATACAGATGGAAATGATCAAAAATGGAATTCCTTGTGCTGGAATCTATACATTTGCTGAACAAAGAAAGGTACTGAAGCAAAAATATTCGAAGAAATAGCACTTGAATTGATAAAAATATTATATATTACATCTGAATGCATGCTTAACAACACTCAGTTTGGCATATTCTTGAATCGATTATATGAGGCAAATAAGTTACAATTTGTTATTGATGAGGTTCATTGTGTTTTTGATTTTGGGAATTTTTGGTAAGTCATTAATATAATTAATAATTTAAGTTTAGATTTCAATAAAAATTAATAAAACTATTTATCAATCTTAGTAAATCATGGAAAAATCTGGGTCTTTTAAAAATAACATATCCGGAGCATGTATTTTAGTAGCAACAGCAACAATAACATATCAAGATATTGAAAAACTACGTGCTAATTTAAATATTCCAATATCAAATTTTGAGATTATTCGTGGGGGACTTTTGATGCGTCCAGAATTATTATTTTCAGTAAAAAAAAGAATATTAATGAGTTGTTAAATTTAGTTCAAGATGGACAAATGGAAAAATAATTATATATTGTACAAGAAAAAAGGATTGTGATGAGATTTTGATATTTTGGGAGAACACAAAAATATTAATATAAATGATATAGATATTTATAATGGAGGAATGCAGCAAGAACAAAGGACTGAAGTATTGAAAAAATGGAAATACTAAAATAATAATAACGACATCAGCATTTGGAATGGGTATAAATATGGCTGATGTACGCTTAGTTCTTCATTACACATTCCCTATGAGTATGAGTAAGTTAATTGATAATTAAATTACCAAATAGTGTAATGAATTTAATGAAATTTTTTGTACTCGTTATATTATTAGCAAATCTAATACAAAAATCGGGAAGAGCGGGACGTGATAGTTTAGAGGCAAGAAGTATTATTTTATATTCGGGAAGGGATATTCAAACCAATTATGCTATTTTGACTGAGAATCGTGTAAGGTTAGCTATGTGAGAAGGAGTTTAATTGTTTATTGAATATTAATTAACATATTTTTTTTTAGTAATAAATTAGATGATTCTTGTCATGATTTGCAAACTGGTCAAAGAAATCTCTTTGACGTTATAAGATTTTGCATGGATGGTTACCAATGCCGGTTGCAATGGATTACGCAGCACTTTGCATGGGAAAATGATCCACTACCTTCTCAATGCAATTTATGTGATAATTGTCAACGACGAATATCCGATAATCCCCAAGAAGTAGATGCATCAGATGAGATTTTTGAATTATTGGAGGTGGTGAAGGCTCTTACATCACAATACAGTATGATAACTCCAGGAGAAATAGTGGATGTATTTTCCAGAGCTAAAAATGCTGGAGTAAGAAAAAGAGGTTTCGATTCTTTGAGTTTTTATTCATCAGATAAGCAGAAACCTAAAAAACTTAAGACAAAAGAGCTAGTGAAGATCGCTTTAGCTCAGTTAAGGAAGATTTGGTACAACAACGAATAATTTTATCTCGGAACTTCACAACTGCAGGATACTTGACATGCCAGATAGAAGTATGTGGTTTAAGTGAAGGTGCAGAATCAATGGTGCAAGAGAAACAGTGGATATATTTGTGTCGAAGATAAATATGTGCAACGTGTTCTAATATCTAAATCTGACTTCATTCGTGAAGAAAATCATGAAATGTGTAATTCAGAAAGTAGTTATTCACAGGCTCCGAAATTAGAAGAAATATAAAAAACAGTAATTGAAGAGGTCGCTAAAAAGACAACTGTGGATCTACCACAAAATCCCGACGCCTAAAATACCAAAATGCTAATATCTCGAATACCAAAAATCCGAAATGTCAACATCTCGAATGTTCTAAAATTCCAAACGTCAAACATCCCGAATACCTAACATCCCGAATGCCTAACATTCCGAAAGCCCAACATCCCAAATGTCCAAAATCCTGACTTACCAAAATCCCGAATATATACTCAAAATATGTAATAAAACACATGTAAAATGTATATATAGTCATGTATAATAAATTGCATGTATCACTAAAGATTGTAAAGGGTAAAATTTGTTAAGTTTCAATTTACATTATAGACATGTTCATATAATTTTAGTATGTTTCATTATATTATACAACAAATAAAGTTTATGATCATTGACCCTTTCTCGAAGTTAAAGAGTTTTCAAATGTTTTTTACTTAATAATTCGCGCATAAGATTGACGTGACTTCAGTCTATAAACGAAATTTGATAAATATTAACTATAGCCAAGAGCAATAAATTGAAATGAAAACGTGGGTGGCTAAATAACATTTATTTTTTTTTTATAATTTATAACTTGATAAAAGTAATGTTTAAATAATAAAACGCATAAATACAAAGTAATTAAACGTTATTTTTCTTTTCTTGCAAGTAAATGTGGTGTACTAATCTATTTTGCACCAAAAGAAACAAAATACTAAATTAAAGAATCAATGAAAAATTAATAATAACCTTCGTATGGAATATCTTATGTTAAGAATGTAATATTTTAAGGTATTGTACATGTACATGTTGGCATTTTGATTTTGGGCATTTGGGATTTTAGCATTTTAGGCATTCGGGAGTTTAGGCGTCGGGATTTTGGGCGGCACCCTACCAAGAATTCGATTAAATTATTTGCCAATCATGATCTTAAAAAAAATCTGCATAAACTCTACCTTAAATCACCCGGAAAAATTTCTACCGAAAAGTAACGTAGTACATGGCATTGTGAAACCGAATACATTTCTCACATATACCCATGTCCCACAAAATTCACTTTTTTCTTGTGTTCCATCCGTAATCTACCAATAACATTCCACCAAAAAATCATATGTAATTCGAAATGTCTATTACTTTGGTCTGTTTGGTTAAAGGAAACTTACCCGCGAATGCTTTCCCTGTCGATATTGATAGGAACAAGCTCGTCGGCTACCTCAAAGAAGTTATTAAGGCCAAGAAACCTTTGACTTTCCGTGATGCAGAAGCTGACGAAATAAAACTGTGGAAGGTGGAAATTCCTGAAGATCGCGATTCCGAGTTAGCCAACCCCTCATTACATGACGAACTCCTAGCAACGAAAAAGATTTCGAAATACTTTCCTGCCACGCCAGCCGAAGAATGTATTCATGTCATAGTCGAGCCACCGGTGCAAATCGCCAGTTCGAGCCGTGAACAGGAACTGCTCGACCGAATCGCGTCATTGGAGGCATCGATTAATAAGTCTGTCCATGGTGCGTATCTGTGAAAAGATTTTTTACTAATTAGCTGTTGTGTTGCAGAATTCGATGTTATCGTAAGCCCGAAGCGGGTGAAATCATTCAAGTGGACAGTGAATATTGAGCATGCGACCCTCGAAGCTCTCAAAGATTCCATACGTGCAGTATATCAAACACCAGCACTTGAAAATGATGGAGCGGTGTTCAACGTTGTATGCGACAGCGGGAAATACTCACCTCGAAACGACCAAGCTTTGCGTGAAATGCTCCGGTTGCTGGTATCAAAGAATAACCTCAAGTTTACCGTCTTCATAGACTCCCTCAAAAGCGTTCTCAGATTGGACTCTTGGTTCAGTGTGTCAGCTTTTCAGTCTTAGCGCTGAAACAGAAGATCCAACATTAGCAGTGTTCCACTTTTTTCATGTGGTAGTATCGAACCATTGCAAGAAGTGTTTAAAAATCTCATGCTAGAGTTAAATTCACAACTCGACATCACTCCAATAAATCTGATATCAATCGAAGCCACGAAATCTATATACGTCTATTCATACCTGCTTGCTGGAGCGAATAATTTCAAAGGTGTATTCGAGGTCCGCCCTCAAAAAAATCTTTCTGGTCCGAATGGACATGGTCCTGTTGATTTCGCAATCGACTTGCGTCGAACGGCAAAAACTGTGGGAGTCACTGAGGTTAAGAAGGATAATTTCGTCAAGGGAGTTGCCCAATGTGCGGTCCAGCTCGAGTCATCCTTGTCGAATCGTAAACGAAGGCTAATGAGTTAGAAGAGAATCTGACAGTTGGAAAAGTTTTTGGGATAGTTACCGACGTCAAGAAATTTTATTTCATGGAATGCTCGCTAGATGAACTGGAACGGCCCGCATTCAAGTTGGTGATCGTTGCGTATGATGATGTTGACATGGAAGACAAGGTAAAAAGGTGCTTTCTCACATCGTATGGTTACTAGAAGAGGTCCAAAAAGCGGACGAATTGGAAGGTGGAAATAAGAGAGTCAAGGTGGATTAGTTGGTTGTGGCTTGATTTTGTAATTACTGGCCTATTAATTATTAATAAATCACTCTGCGCTAACGCAGATCCGGAAATGTCAATCGTGTTATTGTGTGTTTCATTACCAGTATATTGATCCTCTCCCGCGTACAACTGATGTTCGAACCACACCCTGACCATTAATTCATTTAATACGGGGTACGCAATCTAGCTAATTCATCTATTGAAGCATTTCCCCAACACAAATTTTGTTTTGCGCGCGAATTCATAATGAAACGACGAATTGGCTTTCTAGGAGCGAGATATCAATTCATCCTTGCTTTCACTTCATTCGTAGCTCAAGTGCCACCATGAACTTTATAAAACACATCAATTTTGTAAATGATATCCGCAGGTTCGTCCTTAGAACAATTTACAATACAACACAAAACGCACGCAAATTGCATTACAACAATCACATATTCCTTGTTCTGCAAGATCAAATCGTGAAATTACCTAAAACATAATACGCAAAAAATGTTCTCAAAAAATTCAGATTTTTTCGTGCTCGTCATGTCCATGCTAGTCCAATCACTAGTATTATACCTAAATACTCGAAGAGTGGAAAACCGTATAACTGCGGAATTGTCTGCTATCAAAAGATCACAGCGAAACTCAAGCGCTAATACCGAATTGCTACAAAAAATCAACAATCTCGACCGCAATATAAGCATAATTGGCTACGAAGTTCGCGACATCAAAAATGGTGTTGGCAGTCGCGAAAGTAATTCCGGCTCTCGACGGTCCAGGTACCTCAAGATTACACCGGCAATATTCAAACTCTCTGGCAAGATTTCGATCGCCTATTCAAAGAAAAGCGTCGACTAGAGAAACGAACCGAATCATCAATGTATTCCAAAATTTCAGAAGAAATAAGGGAGCTGGGCCAGCGTCTTGGAGATGCGACTATCCGTAAATTTCACAAACGTTTAACCCGTAATCCCGCGGATGAAACCATAGAATTTATTAGGCTATGGGTTGATAATGAACGAGAATTAGATACAGAGGTAGAAGAGGAGGAAAATAGTGATAGCGCTGGACCTAGCAGGATGAGAGAATAAGGGGTAGTCATCGCCTTCGGGCAAGCTTTGGAGCTGACTTCCACTGGTGCACCAGTTTTCCCTCCAATGCAGTCGTGCTAGGTCCAAGCTTTTATCTTGTATTTAAGCATTTTCTACAGTTGGAAACTCTATCAAAAATCCCATAGTAATTTTTCGTGGTCAATCATGTGACCATATGCGTTATCAATCAGGGACAAATCAAGTTTGTGCAACTGAATCTCTCACATATACCGCCCAAAAAATTGACGAAAAAACCTTTTTTGTACTTCTTGTCCGTCCATACTACAGTTGTACAAGTACATCTAAAAACCAAATATGTCAATAAAACTCTTTTGCTTAGAAAAAGGAAAGACTCCTGCCGTCCAGCACGCCTTTCCAGTTAATATCAGCAGGGAAGAGACAGTTGGTGATCTCAAGAAAGCCATCAAGGCGGAGAATGCTGTCGGCTTTGCCCACGTTGACGCCAAAAACCTAAGGTTATGGAGGGTAAACATCCCAGTTGATCGCGACGACCTTATTCAGAGCCAAACTTTACAAGGCAACAACCAGTTACCGGCGACAGATGATATCGGAGACCACTGGACCGATACACCACTGAAAAAGCATATTCATGTAATTGTTGAAGTTCTTACAGGTAATTAATTATCCTAGCTTTTCTTGCTTACTGCTCACGTCACACATTAAATTCCCTCACTGTCATTATATTTTGGTATACTGTTTTCGACGTCGACTAACTTGTGCTTTTCCCTTCCTTTCTTCTTACTGAGCAAGAATTTTTCCGAATAGTTCTCCCACCGCCTCAATTATTTTCCAATGCCACAAAGGACACAACAGAATCATCAACGCGAAAAGCACCTAAAAAACCTGTGCGGTTATGGGAGACATTTTTTACTGAAGCGTTTAATGCGTCACTAAATTACGATG